CCGGGGGCCGCTGCCCGCAGAGCACCTTCCACCAGCACAGCCTTGGGCGTCCCCAGAGGGGCGGCCCGGACCCCGCTGCCTCGGCCTCCCGCCGCCGCCGCCGCCGCCACCGGAGCAGCGCTGCCCTCCGGAGTCTACCCAGGACACTTTCTAGGGCCCCCGCGAGAGCTTTCTTCTCCGCCACGGCCCCCGTGTGGTGACAAAGATCAGAAGAAGTTGTTTGGGAAAAAAAATTTATTAAAAATTCTATTATTTTACTCCTGGAAGATGGTTTTTGGCTCAAGACGTCAAAAGTGGGAGGAGAGCCTAGACCCGCAGGAGGCGCGGGAGCGGGGAGCCGGACCGGCCTCCAGTTCATCCTGGGAGTGGAGCCGGGGGGTGGGGCCGAGGCCCAGGCCCGGGGAAGCCGGACCCAAACTCCTCTGCGAGCGGGGCCGGCGTAGCTGTCCTCAGCCGCCCTGCGGGCACCCGGGCTGGCCTGGCGCCTGGGGTGGAAGCCGTCGGAGAAGCCTCCCCAAACAGGTGAGAAGAGGGAGCGGGCAGCTAGGAGGTGGGGCCGGGGACCAGAGCGGGTGCCTCACCAGCCTGAGGGTGAACAGAGATCTCAGCTTTCTGGTGTGCGGCCGGCGGGCTCCTGAGACAGTGCAGTCCCAGTTTGGTAGTTTGCATTTAGGGTTAAGAATCCAGCTCGACCGGGCGTGGTGGCACACACCTATAATCCCAGCACTCAGGAGCCTGAGGCAGGAGGATCGCTGAGAGTTCCAGGCCAGCCTGGGCCACAGTGTGCATTCAAGGCCAGCCTGAACTGCATAGCGAGATCCTGTCTCAAAAAGACAAAAAAAATGAATCTAGCTTGGAACCAGGCCTGGTGGCTCAGGTTTGTCCTCCCGGCACTCTGGGAGGCTGAGGCAGGAGGGTGAGCCCAGCCTGAGCAGTTTAGCACGGTCTCAAAAATGCAAAGAAGGGGTGGAGGGTGTGGCTCAGGCCAAGGGCCTCATGGGCATCTAGCTCGGGAGGCAGCCAGGGCTGGAGGAGGTGGCCGCTGAGGCCCTGAGAGTTGACGTTTTCTTTGCATCCCCGAATGGCACCATCCCCACCTTTTGGTACCGGGGGTCAAACTCAGGACCTTGCACTTGCCAGGCAGGCGCTGTGCCACTGAGCTATATCCCAGGCGTCCCCACCTTTTAAAATTTTGTTTTTAAATTTTGAGAGGGCCTTGCTAAGTCACTTAGTGG